ACTACTGAGCCCACGAGCCACAACTACTGAAGCCTGCGCACCTAGAGCCTGTGCTCCGCAACAAGAGAAGCCACCGCAATGAGAAGCATGCGCACCACAGTGAAGAGTAGCCCCCGCTCACCGCAACTAGAGAAAACCCGTGCACAGCAACGAAGACCCAACGTGGCCAAAAAAACCCAAAAATAAATAAATAAAATAAATTAATTTTAAAAAATACTGGTAGATATATATTAAAAAAAAAAGTTACCTAGGAGGGACCACATTATGGTTTAGACATTATAGAAACAGAAGTCCAGAATCCCTAGGCACTCATTCCTATCCTGCACTCAACAAATTCTTGTGGAAGTTTCTTTTGTATGAAAACAGTAAAAGAAAAAGTTTATTTTAAAGAAAACTGGAGGATGTTATGAGAGTTTCATGATATGTAGTAGAGATTTCTATACCGTAAATAATAAGGAAATCCTGGAGCTGACCTTTTTTCTCAAAGTTTTGGAGAAATCTTTGGAGATTTGATGTTTCCAATAAAAATCCTTACTAATGTGCTTTACAATTAGCTTTCACCAGGAATCTAAGTTGAAATTGAAAAATATACTCTACTTGGTCCATTACTTTCATATCCTTACTTTAAATGAGCAGATAAAAACCAGGAAGAGCATAGAATGTTGTGTCTTATTCCCCATAAACCCAAACTGAAAGTTTAACACACTATTTTATTAGCAAGAGGTAAATTAAGTAGTAGTTATAATTTTTTTTTTTCTTTTGGCTGTGCAGCGAGGTATGTGGGTTCTTAGTTCCCTGACCAGGGATCAGGATCATACATGCACCCACTGTGGTGGAAGCGCAGAGTCTTAACCACTGGACCACCAGGGAAGTCACTTATAAACGTTTAATACAGAATTACCCAGCAGTTTTAATAATAAACTGAATGAACATTTAACCAAGAATTACTGGATTATTTTTAAAGTCTATTACATTATCTCATCAGGCAACTACAATTCCTCTTTCAAGCCTTAGAATGGTGCAAATAATATACTCACAGGTCATGGAATTAAAGAAACCCTTCCTTTTATACTAATTCAAAGGTCCACACTTGTGGCTTGGAGGTCACCAGCCACAGTCATCACTTTAGGAGCATGCTAATTTTTAGTAGTTAAACTCAGAAGAGTCCCTGTATTAATGTAGAAATGGGATGTTATTGATGAGTGTTATTAAGATAGTATTTATATTAGGACTCTGGATTAAAAGTGATAGAATTCCATCCCGAACTAATTTAAACAAAAAAAGGAAATTGGTTGGCTTCGGGCATTTTCTTGGCTTTGGACACGTGTATGGCTTCGGGTATGGCTGGAGTCAGGGGTTCAAATGTTATCAGAATGTTGTCTCCCTATTTCCATGCTTCCTCTATGTTGACTTCATTCTCTAGAAGAATTTCCTTATGTGGTGGGCAAAGGAGAAATTTTCTTCCCTATAGGAGATACACTTTGGACAACACATTGTCAGATAATTACAAAGAATATCACAGAGGAGAAGCTCACATAGTTAAATCCTTCTGTTTTGCATGTGCAGAATCAAGACCCATATAAGTAACCTGCTAAATGCCATTCTACAATTTAGTGATACAAGAACAAATGGTAATACTCCACAGTAACAAAGAACATTTTTTTTACCCTACTAATGTAGAGCATGCATATTTTGGTCCCAATCACTTTCTGAATTTATGCTGACTGCATTCTTATTTATTCTAGAGAAAAACATCTATTTTTTTCTTTATAAATTTATTCATTTTATTTATTTTTGGCTGCGTTGGGTCTTCACTGCTGCACGGGCTTTCTCCAGTTGTAGTGGGTGGGGGCCACCTCTCCATTGTGGTGTGCAGGCTTCTCATTGCGGTGGCCCCTCTTGTTGTGCAGCACGGGCCCCAGGCGCACAGGCCTTAGTAGTTGTGGCACATGGGCTTCAGTAGTTGGGGTGTGTGGGCTCTAAAGCAGAGCGCAGGCTCAGTAGTGTGGCACGTGGGCCCAGCTGCTCCATGGCACATGGGACCAGGGCTTGACCCCGTGTCCCCTGCATTGGCAGGCGGACTCCCAACCACTGCGCCACCAGGGAAGCCCCAAAACATCTATTTTCTTATCAATATTTCTTACCTACCAATATTCCAAAAACGGACACTCAAAAACTTCCTAAATACCACTGAAAGGGTCTCCTGTTGTAATAACTCAAGTTCTTAGCTCTCCTAGCAATCTTTGAACCAACATGATCTTACCTGCACACTCTGGAGCCTGTGTGCCGCAACTAGAGAAACTGTGAGCCACAACAAAAGATCCCCACATGCTGCAACAAAGATCTCATGTGCTGCAACAAAGATCCTGCATGCCGCAACTAAGAACGAACACAGCCAAATAAATAAATAAATATTTTTTAAAATGAGTTGAGGACTTCCCTGGTGGCACAGTGGTTGAGAATCCGCCTGCCAGTGCAGGGGACACAGGTTCGATCCCTGGTGCAGGAAGATCACTGCAATGAGAAGCCTGCACACAACAGAGGGGTGGCCTCCGCCTGCCACAACTGGAGAAAGCCCGTGCAGCAGTGAAGACCCAACGCAGGCTCAGTAGTTGCAGCGTGAAGGCTTAGTTGCCCTGCAGCGTGTGAGATCTTGGTTCCCCAACCAGGGATCAAACCCACATCCCCTGCATTGGAAGGCAGATTCTTAAGCACTGGACCACCAGGGAAGTCCTCATACTCAACCCTTTATCTAGGCTAAGAGCAAAATGTGCTTCTCTCGTATTTGGATGCCATTCCTTTTCTTATAAACATCAGTTAATCCTTCTGAGCTATATTTAATGTCTTTCTCAGCTGACTTCATTCTTGAAACCTAGTAACATGTTTAAATGTCTCATCTTAAAAAAAATAAACTAAGAAATATAGGAACCCATCTCCCATCTCTGAATTCTCTTTTTTCTTGCCTTACACAGCCAAGGTTATTACAAATCATACACTTCCATCATCAGGGTTCTGCCTACACCCCCTATGTGAAAGTGGCCTGACATACTGATTGCTAATGATATTGGCTGTAAATTTTTAGTTAACTTAATTGGCCTTTCCAGAGGCTTCAGTTCCTATTGACGCCTCTGGGTTTTTACTGTGTAACAAGGCTACCTTTAATTCGAAATTCTTGGGGCACCTGACTGCTACCATGAGCAACTACCCCCACATATTAAGCTTCATTAATTACTCATATCTTTCAGTGAATAGACAACTGTAAATTCCTTTTTTTTAAACTCTAGTGTTTTGAATGCAGAATGAAGAGCACAGAGGTCTCTGGCTACCTATATATGAGGGAGTGGGGGAAGATAATGCATTACACCAACACTTGTAACTACCACTGTCAGCTTCCACACTAAGCCCTTTTTCGTAAGTGATTTACTCCTGACAAGAACCCTAATATATGCCACTATTACCCATTAGGAAACCAAGGCCTTAGAAGAAACTATGGTGAAATAAATGTTTTAGAAAGTTAATATAGCAGTAATAAACAAGATGTATTGGAAGATGAGAGAGAGGTAGTTAAGAAGTCCCAGGAGAAATTTAGGCCTAAGGCATAGGATTGAGAAGACAGAATGACATTATAAAGATTAGGCAGATTATGTAATGGCAGGATAGGAATTACAAGAGAAAAAAGGATTTAGGGCTTCCCTGGTGGTGCAGTGGTTAAGAATCTGCCTGCCAATGCAGGGGATGTGGGTTTGATCCCTGGTTGGGGAACCAAGATCCCACATGCTGCAGGGCAACTAAGCCTTCACGCCACAACTACTGAGCCTGCGCTCTAGAGCCCGCGAGCCACAACTACTGAAGTTCACGGGCCTGGAGCCCGTGCTCCGCAACAAGAGAAGCCACTGCAGTGAGAAGCCAGCAGGCCGGACCAAAGAGCAGCCCCCGCTTGATGCAACTAGAGAAATCCCGCACGCAGCACCGAAGACCCAACACAGCCAAAAAAAGTTTTAAAAAAACAAGGATTCAGAGTTTCTAGCTGGACTGAATTGTGAACCAAGGACAATAGTAGGGACATTGGGAAGAACTGGTTTGGCTAAGTGTTATTAAAAACACACGCCTTACAAAGAGTTACTAATAATATGCCTTAGGTATTATGAAGTGTTATAACAGCAAAGAAATCTAACAGAGGAGATTAGATGTCTCAGGTAAAATCTAGTAGCTTCTTCAAAGAGCTAAGAAAATAAATATTCTTCATTCCATCTAGGTTCATGTAAAGGTCTAACTTCAGATGAACTTTCTTGATGGAATGAAAATGCATGAGAGTTTTGAATAACACAGACTGAATTACTCACTGAAAGTACATTGACTATAAGTGACGGAATTTAAAGTGAATAAGTTAGGGTCAATTTTATGTTTGAACAGATAGGCACAAAATCTTATTACTTAAAATATTTTAATTTCTAAAAAAAGTTAAACCATATTAAAATTTAAATAATTTCATTGTACAGTACTTGATAATACATTTCAACAAACTGAAAAGTAAAAAAACCCACTAAATCAGTTTACTTTCCAAGTTTAATTACGTACAAACTCTTCTGCTCCCCCAGGAGGATATAAAAATCGACAGTGAAAATGGAATATTTAAGTCTAATGTAAGATATTTGGCCAAAAGAATTTCTAAAACTAAATTTCATCTGCTAATACCCTATAACTACCAGTATGCTTATAGTAGATAGGAATTTAAAACAAAACAAATCCAATTTGATCAAATCCACAATTAACTGAAGTTTTTTTCCTTTTATTTAGTTTGAATAAAATAGCAGCCATTATTTTATCCAATACAGTAATGGTATCAATGGCACAAGAATTGATCTGCCTAGCTGTGCAAAACAAGAACAGTTATCTTCTGTTGAAAGGATGTGAGCTTTTCAAACTCAGTTCTTTTTCATTTGTGCCATAATTTCCAAATAAATAAACAGCTCCAGTTAATGCCTTATCAGTCCATTTCTCTATATGATTACATCTTCCATGAAGTCATCATATAGCCACTTATAGTTATCATCTTTGTAACACTCTATGGTTTCAAAAAGGTGCTGAAAGTCTTCAGGGTACATATCTATTACTTTCACATCTTTATCTTTTTTAATTTGCTTCAATATATGCATTGCATCAATTGGACTCAATGAACTGCAAAATAAATACAAAGTAAATGTGCTTAATTCTTATCATAACAACTGTCAGTTAATATTGATAAAGGCGGCTTCTAAGCCCAATTTAAAATGCCTAACTTATTATATATAATTAATCTTATTCAGTTTAATAGCCTGCCTATTATATATAGCTTTAACTATGTCTATTCCTAAAGTTTCATGGCTTGCCTGTAATGAAAAGAGCTGATTTAGGCTTTAACATGTTCTCATCAATTCTTAGGCAAAATTCTAGTTTAACACTGCCCTTAAAAATTCTTCTGCCTGGGCTTCCCTGGTGGCGCAGTGGTTGAGAGTTTAACTATGTCTATTCCTAAAGTTTCATGGCTTGCCTGTAACGAAAAGAGCTGATTTAGGCTTTAACATGTTCTAATCAATGCTCAGGCAAAATTCTAGTTTAACATTGCCCTTAAAAATTCTTCTGCCTGGGCTTCCCTGGTTGCGCAGTGGTTGGGAGTCTGCCTGCCGACTCAGGGGACACGGGTTCGTGCCCTGGTCCGGGAAGATCCCACATGCCACGGAGCGGCTGGGTCCGTGAGCCATGGCCACTGAGCTTGCGCGTCCGGAGCCTGTGCTCCACAAAGGGAGAGGCCACAACAGTGAGAGGCCCGCGCACCGCAAAAAAAAAAAAAATTCTTCTGTCTACCTTTCATCTTTTAATTCTCTTTGCAAAAATATTCTTAACTCCATTTAGGTTCATGTAAAAGTTTAATAAGTAAACATTTAGGTTCATGTAAAAGTTTAATAAACAGCAGGAACTACTGTTTGTTTTCAGAAGAGGAAATAATTTTCACATTTTTATGTAACAATTACTGTGAATAAATTATAAAACAGAAAACTGCCTTATTCTATTAGCCTAGCAAGAAACCACCAGTGAGCCTCTGACAATAACAAGTAAACAACTGTACTAAAATATTTTGGTGGAAAATATTTCCAATACTTTTTGACTGTGAATGGAATCTTGGTCACAGCTGTAAACATCCTTTCAATCCACAGGCTCTCCAAGGCAATTCTTAACATTTTAAACCACAGTTTATCATATGTGTATTCCTTAATTTCCTACACTCTTGATATTTTCATTCAAAATAGCCACTATCACAAGGTGACAAGATGAAAAACAGATGACTTTTACTGGTGTACTGCCACTTTTAACATTTATTTTTACATAAATATTGTTCAATCAGCAGTTCATTCAGAGTTATACATTAAATGATGATCAAATTAATTAAAATGATTATTTATTTTGCCCATCCTCTGACAGTACTTTGAATGACTATGGGCTGATGAGTACATGGTAAAATGAGTAACTTCCAGAACTGTACACATCAGCCCTACGTAAAAATTAATATAGATACAAAGCAGGCAGTAACAGTATAATTTTTATAAGGCTTTAGGTAGAAACATAGAATTTGATCCAGAGCAGGACTAGGGTGGTATAATAATCTGTGCCTACTTTGCCTAGGAAACAGAACCACTAACGACAGGCAACGACAAGAGGTGGATGGTGGGTATGCTACCATTAATGCCGGGGCAATCAGCCAGTTCTTCATGTAGTTAAATTAATCCTGACAAAGATAAAACAAATTGTAGGCATCCCTGGTTGTTTTTTCAAAGAAGGAAAAAAAATTAAGCTCAGGAGATTATGTGGAAAATATATTTTCCTCAAAATGTGTACCGGCGAGAATGAAGTATTTTGTACAGACAAACAGATGAGTGAAAACATGGTACCTCACTGTTAATGAAGATATAAAAAATATAAAGAACAAAGCTCTAACGTGAAAGTACAATTCGCACATTAAGTTGCTACTTTTATATTTGCTTTTATTTTTCTTACTTACTGTAAATGGTCTATTAGCTTGGCATTGCGTTTCATAAAACACTGCCTTAACATGTGAAAAAACACATCATAGTTAAACGGTGTTAAGGTTCCTGTAAATAAATTCCTATGAGGAGTCAGTTGAATAAAACACAGGTTTTGTTCTAATGATTCCTGCAGAGAAAGGAAAATAAAATGTGTTAGTCATAAAATATTGCCAGTGCAAGACACTGTTCACTTACGCATTCAAGCTACCTTTTGGAAGAGGCAATCACAATACACCCTGCGTGTCCCTATAGGTCCCTATAGGTTCTTTTTGGATGTGACAAGAATGCAAGGCCCCAACTGCTCTTAACCTGGGCCATTCCTCAGGGTTGTTTGCAGTGAGTCACCTTGGGGGATGAGATAATGTCTCTCTATAGACTGACATTAATGTTTGCTAAAGAGAGGTGGATTCCCCCAGCTCTGTGTGCCTCAGCTGCAGTGCAAACCCACTGCATGCACACCACACAACTGCACAATATCACATTATTCCACAGGACACACGAGTCTGTGTCTCTGCCCAGCACCCATGAAACAGTAACAGCTTATTAACTTGTAAGCAGGGAAAAATGAAATCCTAAACGTGACACTAGCATGTGCTGAGTCTCTTCTGTATTTGAGGCATTAACACCAGATCCTAAGCATAAAAAAAATGACTGCCGGGCTTCCCTGGTGGCGCAGTGGTTGAGAGTCCACCTGCCGATGCAGGGGACACGGGTTCATGCCCCGGTCCGGGAAGATCCCACATGCCGCGGAGCGGCTAGGCCTGTGAGCCATGGCTGCTGAGCCTGCGCATCTGGAGCCTGTGCTCCACAACGGAATAGGCCACAGCAGTGAGAGGCCCACGTACCGCAAAAAAACAAACAAATAAATAAATAAATTATTGCCTTATAATTTTTAATTGGATTTTTAAAAAATATAGGGTTAGCAAACTATGGTACATGGCCTGCCTGTTTCTGTATACTATGGAGCTCAGAACAGTTTTTACATTTATAAAGGATTCTTAAAAAAACAAACAAACAACAACAAGCCCACAAAGAATATGGGACCTGCAAAGCATAAAATATTTACTCTCTGGCCTTTTACACAAAATGTTTGCCAACCTGCTTTAGTATACAATATTATACAGATTAAAATAAAAACTGTATGTGACTTGATGTAAATTAAGATTTTTTTTCCTCTAAAATTATTCCTCAGAACAGAGGGAGCCTTATGTTTGAATTCTTAGGAAATCTCACATATTAGCTAGTAACCCCTTATTTACTTTATAATAAATACCTATGTATATACATATTTAAACATAAATACTGTTTGTGGAAGACACGTTGGCCAAAAAAAATTTCAATCAATTCTGGTTTCTAGTTTTGAATTCCTGTAGCTGAACAAATTAGTAAAAAAGGAAGGTAATAAAATTTTAACATATTTAGCAATTATCAATTAGGGAGGGGAATAACCTCACAATTGATAGCATTATATGTTGTTAACAAGTCTTTTGAAGGTGACTTTATTTATTTTTTAAAATATATTTATTTACAGTAGTTGTGGCTCATGGGCTCTAGAGTGCAGGCTCAGTAGTTGTGGCGCACAGGCTTAGTTGCTCTGCAGCATGTGGGATATTCCTGAACCAGGGCTCGAATCCCTGTCCCCTCAACTGGCAGGCGGATTCTTATCCACTGTGCCACCAGGGAAGTCCCTTGAAGGTGACTTTAGACAGCATCTTGTAAATAGATTTGGAGTTAGATATAGGTTTACTTGATAAGTAGGGAAAAAACAACTTTCGTGATGTTCAACAAATGGTTATATGTAGCTTAGGAAAAAAGTTCCAGTGACAGCACAAAAACATGGCTTCAAAAAAGTATAAACCTCAAACCACTTGGATGGAAATGAAGATCATGTGCTTTAAAAAACTGTTAAATATTTAAAAGCGCTTCTGTAACAATTATGAACACACCGACATCAGACATGTGAAATATCTGAATAAAATTTTCTCTTAAAACATAACATTTGGTTATTTCATTTTCATCCCTAAAAGTTTATGCATTTATGTCAGCCAAAAAAATGTTTTAGCTTTTGACACTGTCATTGAGAAAATGGGAAAGGTGTCCTATATGCAGGGTTATTAATTTCAGGGTCATTTGGATAAATTCCTACTGGTATCAAGCCAAAATGTATTACCCCTATTCTGTTTTGTGAGGCTACATAAATTACGTTTATGGATAGTGAAACAGAACTAAAATCATAATGATCACTGATTATTCTAAAATCAGAATATTTCTAAATTGATAGTTTTCCTTTTTTCCTTTAGCGGCAAGAGCGAGAAAAAAACCAAAGTAGTAAGCAATGGGAAAGTCAGACTGAACTAATATGCTGAGATTAGGGAATCATTAGCATTTAATCCTGAAATGGAACTTCTGAATTGAGTCTGAAAATTGTTTTTAAAACTTCAGCTACTTTATTACAACTTCAATATAAGTAGCCCATAATCTAAATGGAGGATCACTCTATAACATAATCACTTTGGTTCTTTATGAAGGGAAAAAATAAACAAAAATTAAAGCCCAACCCCTAGGGTAAGAAACAAGATGTACCTGTTAGTGAAATAAACCATTATAAGTAGGAATATTACATATATGATTTATTAATAAGGTATAAAATCTTGTTTTCAGTTTATCAAATTAGATGAATAAACATTTTAATATTCATGTGTTTTCCAAACTTGAGAGGTATCTTCATTTCAAAAGTTAAAAATAGAAGTCAGGGGCTTCCCTGGTGGTGCAGTGGTTAAGAATCCACCTTCCAATACAGGGGACATGGGTTCGAGCCCTGGTCCAGGAAGATCCCACAGGCCGCAACTAAGCCCATGCACCACAACTGCTGAAGCCCGTGCGCCTAGAGCCTGTGCTTCACAACAAGAGAAGCCACCGCAATGAGAAGCCCGCGCACGGCAACAAAGAGTAGCCCCCACTCACCACAACTAGAGAAAGCCCGCATGCAGCAATGAAGACCCAACGCAGCCAAAAATAAATAAATAAATTTATATATTAAAAACAAGTCAGAATCTGTGTTTAAGCCTATTACTACGCTAGCATTCATTGTATAAACAACTGAAAAATATAACTCCCTTCCAAAATAATTTGAATATATTAAAATCAATAAGATGTTTAAAAATTTTTCTAGATATTCTAAAATTAAAAATTTCAATAAATACAGAATACCAGATAATGTAAAAGAAAACAAAGACTGTTACATTAGAGGAAAAAAGGGAAAGGTATTCATTCATTCTTACCCTATGCTTTTGCTTTGCCAGCTGCCCATTTGCGGTATATGTGCCAAATGATAAGCAAGACTCCTTGAGTGAAGATAAACAAAAAGAAAACATTTCTTTCAGTTCTCTTGGTGCAAAGTGCCCCACATTATTACTGCCTTTAAAATTGTCTTGCCTAAACAACATAATGAATTAAAGCCAAGTCTCCAGTCTAACTGAATGTAAGAAAAACAACATGTGACAGTTAAATCATATACATTTCTCTTCTCTCTCATTTTTTTTAGATAAAGAAAAGGGGAGTCAAAGGTCTAGCCAAATACTGGTAACTCTATTACTTGCTTAGATAAAAGACAGTTGCCCTTAGTATAATTATGCAAATACATTCTAAAGTTATTTTTAGTAGCCAGCATATTACAGTCACAATCAGTTTAGGGTCTATCAGACCAATTATGGGGATGTTTTTGCCCTACCTCAGTGGAAAAACCACTGATATGAATATGCTGGGACATGTAAGGAGATAGACAAAGAAACTTGTGTCAATTTTTAAAAGGATCATTACTTTCTTGTATCTAACTTTTGTACATACAATTTCGTATGTGAAGCAATTTTAAAAGATGACACAACTGAAAAATTATTGTGTGTGTGTGTGTGTGTGTATAAATACATATACACACATTAAATTCCAAAATAACAGCATTTGACACAGACTTAAAAGACTAAAGCTTATAATATTGGATGTAAGGTCAGAAACGATAATTTATTACTAATTGCAGTGGCAACTGACGTAGAATGAAAAATGCAATTGTTGCTCATCTGTGAAACTCCCAGCAGTTCCAGGAATGTCACTAAGTGGAGGAAGGCAAAGCAGCAGCAGCAGCGGGCACTGCAGCTTCCCCCCACACTTGGTCTATCCACAGCAGTTTAGGGCACTGCAGTGGGCACAGAGAAGACTTCACTCTCATCTACCAAACCCACAGGAGAGGAAGACCTGCAAGACCTTGGGAACTGAATTCAACAACAGACCATCCAGTAGTAGATATATAATGGACAAATGTTAAAAATGGTGGGTCTAGAAAGACCTCTCCTTTCTGGAGGTTAATAAATGGCAAAACTCAACATAGGGCTTTTGAAAACAAATACTGCAGAAAAAGAAAACTATCCTGAAAGCTGAAGTCCTCAGAGGGCCTTCTATCAAGAAACTAGCCAAAAGCCAGGAAGAGAGAAGAGCTGAGATGAAAAGCCAACAGAATGAGAGGAGATCAGTGGGGTTAAGAAAGGATTTTAGGGAAACCAAGAACTACAGTACCAAGATTACAGTATGTAGTATAGGCAGAAAGCAGGGTCAGTGCCATGAAGGCTAAATGTGAAAAAGATTTCTGGGAATACAGAAAAAGGATGAGAGTATGACAGATACGTAAGACAAGGAACAGAGACAGCCAACCTAATAACCTGATACATTCTGGAGGAAAAAAACCAGAATTGGAACAAAAGCTAAAATCAAATGAGATAACATTCTAACAACTAAGTATGCACTGAAGGTCTTAATGTGTTCCTGGACAAAAGCAATGAAGAGACTACATAGAGGAAACACTCTTTTAAAATTAAACCAATATATCCTCGGAAGAACAAGGGCTCATAAAATATACAAACATAGGGCTTCCCTGGTGGTGCAGTGGTTGAGAGTCCGCCTGCCAATGCAGGGGACATGGGTTTGTGCCCTGGTCCGGGAAGATCCCACATGCCGCGGAGCGGCTGGGCCTGTGAGCCATGGCTGCTAAGCCTGCGCATCCGGAGCCTGTGCTCCGCAACAGGAGAGGCCACAACAGTGAGAGGCCCGCGTACCGCAAAAAAAACAAAAAACAAAAAACAAACAACAAACATATTCCTTATAAAAACAATTTGATATATACTCTACTAAAATAAAAAAAGAGAATGGGTAAATTATGGTATGAAAGAAATGGTATTTATTGTTTTTTTCTTAAGCTTTTAGACCTCTATTAAAAATGGCAGCCACACACACACACACACACACACACACACACACACACACACAATGGTAGACACTAGTCACATGTGGCTACTGAACATGTGAAATGTGTCCAGTCTGAATTGGTTGTAAGTGTAAAATATACAATGGATTTTTAGTACACAAAAAAGAATGTAAATTATGTAATAACTAATTTAAAAATATTACACACTGAAATAATGTTTTGAATTGAGAAGATTCAATAAAACATAATATTAAAATTAATTTCACCTGTTTCTTTTTTACTTTTCGTAACCTGGTGACTAAAAAAAATGTAAAACTACATATGTGGCTTGCATTGTCTTCCTATTAGACAACTCTGATCTTGCCTAAGGAAATAAACTAAAAAGGGGAATGCTCTATAATGAGGTATTAAGTAGTCATTAAAAACTTAAGAAAAATGTTTAGATAGAAGGGAAAAAAAATCTTGTAATTAACTATTAGCTATTAAATGAAAAAAATAATATAATCTCCTCTACACAAAAAAGAAAAAACAGGAAAAATAAAAGACTAAAATTATGCCATAAACATCAACAGTGACCTCTGGGTGGTAGAACTATAGTGATCATTTTTTAAATTCTTTTCTTTCTTTAACATGTCTCACATTTTTGCACTGAGAATATATTAGTTTTATAATGAGAGAAGTATATAAATATTTGTGACAGAAAAACATCAGTATAGTGCTCTATTATCTTAAACACTTGGGAAAAACAATAAAATTAATCTGGTCACAGAAATACAGCCTCTTTGAAAAACCATGAAATTCTTTGTTGAAATTTAGAAGGATTTTACTCACTGTATGCAGGAGCTTAATCCCACAAGCTATTTGACAGAGCACACTTAATGCTTGATACAAGCCTGGATTTTGGGGATTTGCCATTATTTTCTAGTAAAAGGAAAATAGAAGTTACATGTTATACATAGCTATAGCCAATCAGTCAAAATCATATGTCAGATCTTAATACCTTAATGATACCTAGAAATGAAAGAAAATTAGAATTAAATGCAGAATCTTAACCATTTCAAAGAAAAGAAAGTCTTCTTAAACTTTCATATTGAAATATATCATCATGTACACTTAAAATATAATGTATTTGAGACTGATTTCCTTTAGCCATATCACCTATCAGGGCAAATTCTCATTAAACAAAAAGTGACACAGAAGTGTATAATTACTGTGGTGAAGGGTAAGTGTGATAGAAACGTGCATTAGTTGGGCTATTAAATTTTGAGTCAAGAATTACTTAGGCTGACACTTGAGGATAGAGGTACCTCACTGAATGAAAGGGCACTACAGAGAGAGAAAACCAAATGTGAAAAGGTCCATGGTAAAAGAAACATTAGAACATTCTACTAGTAGCAAGGTGAAACCTGACAAAGCATTTCCTATTTCTCTTCCTTTCATTCCTTCATGTATGCACACAGCCTCAAGGTTCTGAGTCCTCTACTCTCTTCCAGGGATGGTCACTATTTACTTACTATTTGGATCTTGGTAAGCAAATCATCCTTTCATCTCCCACCGCCCCCCATCTCAACCCATTGTTCTCTTATATACAAATAAGCATTTCCAGTTATCTTGGATTATAAGATTAGTAACATGAAGCATTCTGGGCAGCAAAGAAACATAACTCTCAAGGACTTCAGGAGGCCCTTTGATTTCAAAGAATAAAAAGTCTAAAACCCTATGTTCACTACAGCATTATTCACAACAGCCAAGAAAGGTATATAACCTCAGTGTCCACTGGTAGATGAATGGATAAAGTAGATGTATATGTTTTACATATACATATATACACACACATATAACTCAGCCATAAAAATGAATGAAATCTTGCCATTTTTGACAACATGGATAGATCTAGAGAGTATTATGCTATGTGAAATAAGTCAGACAAAGGAAGATAAATAAATATGATTTCGCTTATATGTGGAATCTAAAAAACAAAACAAATGAACAAACATAAAAACAGAGTCACATATAGAGACAACAGAAGGTTGCTAGAGATGAGGGGGTGGGGGAATAAGTGAAACAGATGACAGAGATTATGAGGCACAATCTTCCAGTTACAAAATAAATGAATCAGGGGGATGAAATGTACAGTGTGGGAAATACAGTCAATAATAATATAATATCTTTGTATGATGACAGATGGTAATATATAGACATCTGTCATCATTTTGTAATATATAGACATATCAAATCACCATGTTGTATAGCAGGAACTAACACAATGTTTAGGTCAATTATATTTCAAAAACAAACTCATAGAAAAAAATCACATTTGTGGTTACCAGAGGCAGGGGTGGAGGGGAGAGGGAACTGGATGAATGTGGTCAAAAGGTACAAACGTCCAGTTTTGTAGTGTACAACTACATAATTAACACTGTGGTATGTTACATATGAAAGTCGTTAGAGAGTAAATCCTAAGAGTTCTCATCACAAGGAGAAATATTTTTTAATTTTGTATCTATATGAGATGATGGATGTTCACCACATTTATTATGGCAATCATTTCATGATGTATGAAGTCAAAACATTGTACTATATACCTTAAACTTATAAGTGCAACATGTCAATTATATCCATTGACGGAAATGGATAAACAAAAGGTGGTGGGGTGGTGTCTAATTATATAATGGAATATTATTCAGCCTTAACAAGGAATGACATTCTGACACATGCTACAACTTGGATGAACCCTAAAGACAGTATGCTAAGTGAAATAAGCCAGACACAAAGTGGAATACTGTATGATTCCATTTACATGAGGTACATAGAATAGTCAAATTCATAGAAACAGAAAATAAAACTGTGGTTTGGGCTTCCCTGGTGGCGCACTGGTTGGGGGTCCGCCTGCCGATGCAGGGGACGCGGGTTCGTGCCCCGGTCCGGGAAGATCCCACATGCCGCAGAGCGGCTGGGCCCGTGAGCCATGGCCGCTGAGCCTGCGCTCCGCAACGGGAGAGGCCGC